TGCTGTCAAATTGATTAATCGCATCTAACATAAATGTTTTTGTTAATATTTATATATAGGAATATACTGTGTGTGTGTGTGTGTGTGCGCGTGCACATATTTTATATAAAGACAAACTTTTATGGAATTAATTGATTTGACAGCGCAGATTTAAATATATTTAGGTATATTCATATTTATATTCACTATATATATATATATATATATAGCATATTTACACACAATCTCCCATTTAGTAGAAATCACATATATATTATATAATATTTCTTTATAATAAATATTAATAATCTATTTTAATGATAATATTTATTAATGTATTATTATTAATATATAGGTAGATAAAGAAAGAAAAGGTATCTGTGGTAAACCATTTTTCATGCATTTATTTAAAACATAATAATACTACTTTGCATTTTCCCCTAAAAATTCACCTGAACATATTAAGCAGTTAATTGCAAAGAGATTAATAGTGCTTACTACTTTTAACAGCCCTAATATTTTTATTTTAAAGCCATAATTTTAGTTTTATAGGTTTAACAAAAGTGAAATCCCTCCAAGTACCCACAGGGAACACATACCCCTTGTTGAGAGAATCACTAGTGTGGCTTACATTAACATATACTATATTCATATATTCATTGCAGAAGGGACTAATAGCATCCATTATGCACTTCTACATAATTGTTTTTTATACAGTAATTGGATTGCATTTATTCCCACTTCTTACAAATTGGCAGAAAATGTCAGCATACAGATTGTGTTGCGGCAGCACAGCTCCGCAAAACCATAACTGAGGACCAGAACAGCAAAAAGCGATAAAACTGAAACAATAGATGCAAAGGCACGGCCACAGTTGTAAATATTGATTGCCGTGGAGTCAGGTCTGTTCTTACCGCACTCTTGCAAGAGTAATGATGTTCCACGGACAGCCAAATTGTGGTATTTCTTTCAAGGCGCGAGGTAGAGGATGCTAATAATGAAAAGCAAAGTTAACCGCACGAACACTAACCATATGCTGCCTCTGCATGGATGAAATGCTGTGATTTCCATTTGGATGGGTATGCAGACATCTGCCATAGAGACACCGGATCGGCTCAGTTCTCTCCGAGCGACAGAGTGGTGACATAGCTAAAGAAGGCGCTTCAACTCTCAGACCATTAAAATGAAGGATGAACGGCCCGGGGGCTGATGACAGAGGGTCTTTTTTAATAGACTTTGGTGCCAAAGGTCTTCCTGTGCGGTCACGCTCTCTCGTCCTGAAGAATAACCCGCGTCACCTTTGTGAGATCATTGGTAAAGTTGTCATCAACATCAGATAATTACGTCCGCGTTCACTGTGAACATTTTCCGTGGGACCCTGATGGCGTGAGCGTGTCCCCTCAGCCCGCAAATGAGGCTGGTGGCTGTAGGGTCTGGGTCTGAATTATTGATATCGTTCTGTATGAGTGGGGAGTTTTTAACGACGGTCATTTAGAAGATGGAGAGGCATCAGCAGGGCGCTAAATCTGACAGCGTGCTCCACAAACAGGGACTTTATTGGCCGCACAGATGGCCCGTGTGTACTGACTTCAAAGCGCCAGACACACACACATGCAGAGGGCTAGAATACAATATATAAAATTAGATTTGTGTTGATGTGTGATAATGCATTTAGATGTATTTGCACGGTATGTTTCAAGGTTTGGGTCAAAAGAGAGCGTTTTGTTACGTTTTCTCTGGGATGCTTTCTTTTCTGAGAGGAAGTGAGTGGTGCTGGTTTAAGATTATTGCTTTTTAGGGGCTTCTAGTCACGTTTCTGAGCTCAGATGCTCTCTAAAATATGGCTTGGGTGTCATCTGTTGTTTACTGTTCTGTAGCCCATCCTAAAGAAGACTGCATGTAGAAGAGGTCAAATCGATGCAGAAATGACTTCTGAAAAAGGCTTCATGGACATTTAAGATGCATGATTAGTACGTTTTTCAGTGTACTTGAAGGGAATAATTAAAATTCTCTCTTCATTTACTCGCCCTCATGCCATCCCCGATGTATATGACTTTCTTTCTTCAGATAAACACATTTTCACATATCTCCATATAATGCAAGTGAATGGCTGCTGCTTGGTTGACACATGAAAAAACATACACAGCTATCGCGACTGTAGTCCATACATCCCCAGTGGGTGAATCAAATGTCTTCTGAAGAGACGCGATAGGCGCGTTTACAAGCTCAGCTTGACATAAACATGCTTTGTGAAGTCCGTAGAAGTATAGCAGAAGCTCAAGAGTGCCACCACTTTTCTCACAAGCTTCACATTGCACTTGTGTCACCACAGCCCTCTTGTGAATGGCAGTAGACCAGAATCAATGATTTGTACATTGATACATGCATTTTTCTTACACACACGTATAGTTTGCCTTCAGAAGACATTGATTCATCCACTACGGTATAGATTACCGTCACGATCGCTGTGTGTGGTTTCTTAAGCGCCATTCAGTGGCATTCATATGGACTGGATTTTTGTTTGTGTTCATCTGACGAAAGAAAGTCATAAACACCTGGGATGGCATGAGAGTGAGAAAATGATGAGAGAATAAATTTTTTGGGGAACTATCCCTTTAAAGAATAGTTTACCGAAAAATAAAGATTTTGTTATCATGTTCTCACTCATACTATTGTAAAGCTGTAAAAGATAATGTTTTGACTCATGTTAAATCTGCTTTTTTTCCCACACACGAAAATAATGTTGTTTCCACTTCCAACCTGCAGGTATGGAGCCCCTAAGGGGAAATGGTTGTGGGGGGAAAAAAATTAGATGGGAGGAAAAATAAGTTGTCAGTGCTTTTGCGTTCTCTCACAAATGTTTTGCATTCCCCTGACTTTGCGTTTGCGTTATCTCGCAAAACCTCTTGCGTTCCCTCGCAAAAACTTCTGTGTTCTTTGCGCAAAACATTTGCGAGAGAATGCAAAAAGCTTTGGCAAATATTTTTTCCTCCCATGTCCCTTTAGGCGGCTCCGTATACAGATACCAGGGGCCGCCAAGCTCCAAAAAGGACAGAAGCATAATAAAAGAGTCCAAAAGAGGAGAAAATGTATATCCCACAAGTCGTATATACTTATAAGGTGTCTTTTTGTCCTTTTGTCATTCTTTGAAAGGAAAAGAGCAACATTTTTCAAGATATCATCTTTTGTGATCCATGAAAGGAAGTCAGTCATACAGAAAGACAGGGTGAGTAAATAATAATGTTTTGTTTCTTTTTCTTTCACATTGCTGGCAAAGGATGGGGAGGTTTTTTTTCATGCCATTAGCAAAAGGAGAAAAACATGTCTAATGGTGGTTTGGCGTGAATGTTGAAAGATGCGAATAGATTTTACACCAGCACAGTGCAGTACAGAATACCAAAATATGGAGATGAAGCACTGTACCTGGTCTTATCTCCCAGGGAATGACGTGCAGATTTTGGGAGAGAGAGAGAGAGAGAGAGAGAGAGAGAGAGAGAGAGAGAGAGAGTGTGAGGGAAAAACAACACACTGAGAGCACAGTAGAATTTGCAATGAAAAAAAAAGAACTTGACTCCATGTGACATTTTTTGTGGTGTGTTTTGTGCAGCATTCTCATGTCAATCACTCCAGCTTGTACAATATTGCTATGAATCACCTGAGGTATGTGTCTGTTAATCTCTTTTTAAGATGTATGATCTTTCCTTTGTAATGCTTATTTGTGGGATGGTTGTATATAACACAATTTTTAAACCCGTATTACATAATCATATACTTATTCCTTTTTTATTCTGATAAGTTTGATGGATTGTGATCCTGTTTAATAAAGCCAATGGAAATGCTGTTGTTTAAATCATCCTGTTTGGTTAATGCTCACTACTCTATGCATATTGCATTAGAAGAGTTTTTATGGGCTGATATTTTATGCATATATTCACTAATATGAAAGAAGTCATTCCATTTATTTATTTTTGTATCTAATCCTGTCTGGTATTCATATACATATTTCATATTAGACTCTTATGTGGTTGCAATTCCAGTCACTACCCTATGTGTTACAAGATTTTGTAATACTTTGCAAATATTGCCGGGTCATTCCACAAAAGGTGTGTTTTGTGTAAACAATGACTATGAAAAAAAAGTGCTATTGTAATTTATTTTATTAACAATTGACAATTAAGTCTCTTTTCTTTTGTATCCCTTGTTAGTTTGTTTTTGTCAGTAGGAAATGATCTGAAGGTCAACCATGAACAGTAAACAACTGATATTTGAAAACTGGATATTTCAAGTGTGTAGAAAGCTATAGAAATATTAGCATAAAATGATCTTCCCTGTAGTAGGACAGCTGTCACTAAATCAACTGTCAACCTTTTTTTTTTATTTTTATTTTTTTTTATTTTTTTATAAATGGCTATGTAAATATATTAACATTTTTGATTTAGCTTAAGACATTTTTTAAAGAAAATTTAGGCTAGTTCAAAAACATTTCGTGGAATGAACCAGCCATTCAGTATTATTGTTTAAGATAGACCTATCTGCAGTCCCGAGGGATGAACCGATTCTTTTTAGTGACTCGAATCCAGACGACGCGACCAGCAGCAGACCTATAGTTCGATTCCCGAGGGAGCGACTCTAAAGAGCCGGTTCTTTTCACTGAATCTAGACGCATCCAGCGCGACAAGTATAGTGCGATTCACGAACGAATATTTAAATGAGTCCTTATGAAACTTAGCCTATCTTAGGTAATTGGTAAAGTACAAAACGTGAAATTATTTGTTAAAGGCAGAACTTAACCTTAGGCTACTCCCAAATCGTAGGCTATACAACAAGCATTTTAGGAAATTCCAGAAGGAGGCTATTTGGTTTGAAAAAAAGTTTTAGGACCACAAACTGAACAGTTTTATTGCATTTCTTATTGTCCAACACTTCTTCCTTAAAAGTACTCAATGAAACGTTAAGGAACCGGAATAGTTAAATTCCTTACGGTCCCCATCCCTTCTCGCCACATATGAGTGTGTGCGCGCGCGCGTGTGTTTGTGTGTGCGCGCGTGCTGGAGGAGGGAGAACTCAGCTCTAAATCCAGCCACGAATCACGGAGAATGTGCGCGAAATGCTTCTCTGCTGTTCTCTGTAACTCCACAGGGCAGATTCTGTATGATATGACTGCACGGACGGGTTTGGGAACGTCGGAGTGACATTGAAGAAGACGCTTTTCTGAAGACCCAAAAAACGAACCTCCCTCTCGAGCTCATCTACAGTCATCATCCGTATACATTCTGGACCTGTTACCACTGGACTGGTACCATTTCACCCTGTGTGGATACTTCTCCAGACCGCAGAGGATTCGCGCAGTTTCCAACGGACCATATTATGACTCATTTTACTTTGCTTGAATGAGTTCTCCATCAATTTTATTTGCTTTGATTTTCGACCGTAATACATATTATATTGTTACATTTTTTAATTGATCAAATAACAATTAAATAATGACTTTTTAATGCCCCTCCCTTCAAATTAAATATTTGAATGTGTTTAATGAGATGCGTAAAATGGAAACCACTGCGCGTAAATTCACATCGGATTAACTGTCTCTTCGCATCCCGGCCACATACCCGTGAAAATCTATGGAAGTAGCCGAGTTTGCTTTGAACTTGCTTTAGGCTGGGTCCGGGAGTGTTTTCTGCGGGTCGTAGTGAGGATGCAGTCGGGGATGCGGGCGCTCTGTGCCGGCGGAGGCGCGTCTCTCTGCTGCCTGCTCATGCTGTGGATGATCTACACCCACATCCTGAAAGAAGGTAAGTGTTGAGCATCCCTATACATGACTTTCACAATGGTAACGGGCCGGGGTAATTAAATAACCTCATATTTTTCTGTGCGTATATAGGCTCACCTCTGATTCTGTCCTTATAAAGTTGCTTAAAAAAACACAAGTCAGATTTCTCAGAGACAAGCTTCTGTGCTTTAACACCCAGGGGAAAAACATAGTGTGTAGGACAGAAACAACTCCTCTGAGAGACCCTGGAGAGCTTGTGACATTATTATGGAAATCTATAGCATAATATGGAGGTCATGCTTCACAACCCAGAGGAAAATTGTATTGCTTAGGGGTTGCTCGTTCATAGCTCAGGGGATTTATTGGAGATCTCATTTACTGTAACTTAGTCTCAGAGGTTTCTCCTAAAATTCATTTGAAGATATCAAATTTAAGACATGCAGATTGTATAGGTAAAAAAAAAAAAAAGTGGACCACAAATGTAAAGAATTTAATAAGGATTTTTTAAGATCTCTGACGGCAGACTTGAGAAATCAGAGTACAATTTGTGTCATTGAAGAGATCTCTGTGAGAAGCAGTTGAGACCTAGTTTGTGAATTTCCTTTCCTTTGAATGGCTATTAGGGCTGTATCGTGCATGTCAGAATATTTGTACCGTGAAGCTCATGGGTCATGAAGTTCTCGTCTTCTAATGCTGTGAATGATTTGTTCAGGGACCACTGCTTTTGTGTGCATGCATTTGCATCGATGCCTACTGTTATGCATCACACACGTTTTGTTGCTTGTGTGTGCATGTCTGTCTAGCGTTTCTCTGTGTGTTCTAGAGGTAATGAAGAGGACAGTCATGATTTGAGTCAGGGGTAAGAATGTGACTCATTTGATAAGCTAACTGGCCTAAAAAGGCACTGGGAGGCATGTCAAACATGGCACAGCGTTTGTGTGCTGATGTGGAAGTTTTGCAGATGGCTGTCAGTGAATGGTTTTTGTCAGGGGGGTTGAGTTAAGATAGGATATAATAAAAGATATTACAGACATTAACACTTCATCTCACGGTGGCGTCTTAGCACGGTAATACTGCAGATTTATGGGCACCCTGATGCTTAAATCCTCACGTTTAACTGAGACATTCAGAGCACTAAACGTTACTAGGTGGAAACTGGTGTCTTGTTTGAGGGATCAAACATTCCTTCTAGATCCTCTCAGTTTATGGCTGAGCATTATTTGGGCTTCGTGGCCTCTAGCTCAATCTAGGGAAGGTAAAATCCTTTGCTAAAATACATTATGTTCTTCGGACGAACCAAGAGGAAACTAGAAATAGCAGAGGGCCTGAAATTTTTGCATCACGTTCAGCTGCAGAGGCTGATAAATCAGTCAATGAATAATTTTACATTCGTGTTTTACAGGCAAGATGAGAGGATATTTCTGCCATGAAGTCTTTGTAATGTTTTTGTGATAGATAGACAGACAGACAGACATCTCTAAAATAATTTGGTCTTGGAAGGATTTGATGTGAAAAACAAGTACAAGACTATTGGATTATTTTCTTCCTGCAGTATTTTTTTATGTTGTTTTGGTCCCATTAACTTTTACTGTGGACAAAAATATTTACAAATTTGTGTTATGCCAAAGTTTATGCACTAGTATAAAAAGTGCTTTTTTTTTTTAGCACAGTCTGGTGGTGTGGCTATCTAGTGCCATTTTCATGTTTAATTTAGTTTACCTTCTACGGAGCCCTGCTCATGATATGCAGACAAAAATATATAAATATATCGTAGCCACAAATTAAGAATTCATTCTCTCGTTTAAATACATTGTGGCCACAAGTTAAGAGTTCGTTCCCACGACTTATTAATTTGTTCCCTCGTTTTAGTAAATCATGGCCACATTGAACTTATTTGTTCCCTCGGTTTGATTTAACATATCAAGGGAATGAATTAATACAATGTGGCCATGATTTACTAAAAAGAGAAACGAATTAATTCAAGGCCACTATATACAGTTTTTCCCCCCGCTCTGTAATACATTTATGCATTTGACGTACTTTTATGTGACTTACATTGCATTGAAGAATTTCTTAACATATTTCTTTATATCATTTTATATAGGCCTACTTTATATAAGTCGTACATGTTTAGAATGACATACGGGTGAGTAAGTAATGACAGAATTTTCATTTCTGGGTGAACTGTCCATTTAAGCGACATGATTTTGTTCAATAGCTGGATGAAATGACAACTTTTGATTGCTGTGATGCTATAGTGTGGTGGCCTTTCATTTCGAAAATGATATCCGTGACCCTACTGAAGTTCTCTGTGAGATATTGATCGATCAATGTGTGTGACCATCGACCTCTGTCGCGGTTTGGCTCCGAGTCATTTACAGATGAAAGCATGTGGCTTCGAATGAGGCCTTGACCCTTCAAGCACCATAGGCATGTGATGAAAAACCCTCATCGCTCTTGTCCTTTTAATGGCCTTTTAAAAGATCCAGCGTACAGATGCACATTATTATACTACTTTAATTGTGGTGAGATGTAAGTGATACAGAGATGTGTGTGTGTCTTTGTGAGCCAGCAGCGTGTGTGTTATAGTCGTGATTTAATTATGCCGTCCTCCCAGGCCAGAGCTGTCATCCAGAGCTGCTGTGATGACATCACCGATAATGTACAGAGCGTTTTCATCACTGATGCCCGGCGTAAAGAGAGGGACAGTGACGAGATGAGAGATTTACAAGATTAAAATCAATTGTCAGGAGTCCAATTAAAAATTCTCTCTTCTTCCAATCTGGAATTTCCCCGGTAAGCTCAGCGCAAAAGATTAGTCGTTTGTTAAATATTGTAGAAAGAAAGGTTTCATTGAGCACCTCCCGGCTCCCGCACCACTGAGCGTTCAAACTAATGCCTGTGCAGATTTGATTCAGCTGCTCTTTTTATATGAGATTCTGCATGTGCAGGCTGTTAGGACACAAGCTCATGTCACCGACTGACTTCTCCCTTTATCAATCAAGTGCTCCTAATGCTTCCCTGCACATCAGAGATACTGCTCGGTTTGGTTAAAGGTGATGTGGGACATTTTTCTGATGTTAAAGCACTTTCTCATTTCTGGCTTAATATGCAGAGACAACTGTACGCCGCTCTTAGGTTGATTTCAAGGAGTTCTAATAAACCTGGAGAGCTATCCAGCATTCCCATACATCTGAAAGGCCGTTGCTCTGCTTGTGTATGTTGGATGCTGCTGCCTTTGCTTCAGTTTTCTGAGCCAATCACCTGAGCCATATATGCCTCTGATCGTTTTATATTAGCCACATTGCAACAGACAGGGAAAACATAATTCATGCTGTTAAGAGCCCTGTGAGAAAAATAGGTCACTAGTGAAACATCTACAATAGTGAATGCCTGCTTTTCAGTGGGCGCCACAGGGCTATTAGATTTTAGAAATTTTGATTTAAATTTTGTTTCAATTTGTCTCTTTCATTTAGTTTACTCATTGTTAGTTTTTTCTATTCATACCAAAGTTTTTACATGGCACTAGACTGTTTAAATTTAATTAAAAATGTCCCATCTGTTAGTTTTTTTTTTATTTCAGTTGATGCAAATGTTTTAATTTCCTTTTTTTTAAGCATACAACCTTTTTGAAAACCTTTACAGACCCTATGAAATCAAAATCTGAATTGTGAATTTAATTGAATTGTGGCTTTTAGGTTCCTTAACTTTTAGGGCATATGCTAATGTTCTCCAAAATATTGACTTTTTTGTAGATTTAAACATTACAGTCTTTCTCTTCCAGGAGAACGGGCCACAAATCATTGATGAGTCATCTTGCACTAAACAGATTTTTGTCCGGTCAGATTGTCCCTCCCCAGTATTATTGAAAAATTGTTCATTATAGTGACAGCTAAACCCTATTGGCTAATTTTGCGATATGCTCCATCTCAACTTCGGTTAGCCTACACTTTATTTCAAAATGCCGTCGGCAACATTTTTTTGATCATATTCAGTGAAATCGACACTATAATCCGACAGAACAACATAAATAAAGTGGTTTTTAGAAAAAAAACCGAGCTTCTAACTCCACCTGGAGCGTGTTATTTGTTTTGCAAAAATCCACAGCACCCGGATCATCGGGTCCAATCAGCGCAGGGGGGTGTGAGATCTGACTGTCAATCACAGATCGGGCACACGCCACCCCTCGCGCACGTTACAATCACATGCACACGCCTGAAGTTCGCGGAAGTTCGCGCAGTATCGAAGAGTGACGGCGGAAAATCAAGTAAGCTCATTTAGAGTATAAATGACGTTAGCAATTGCAATCTATGGTAGATTAGCCAGGGCAGCATACCTCCAAATAATCCATGGTGTTGATGGATGCTGATGAGACGGGCACGTTCACTGAAAATCTGGTGCACACGCACTGACGAGCATGAACTCGTGGGAGGGTATTCGTTGATAGTGGGGGAGGGCCATGAGAGTTGTAAACATTCAAAATTTTGCATAAACATTCAAAAGTCCACTCAATCTGCCAGACTTGCCGACTGCAGCTTTAAGACATTCTAGTAACTGTAAGTAACTTTGCAACTACAAGTTAACAAACTCTCACTAATTTGCAACTACAAGTCAACTAACTCTCATTCGAGTTTTTGTAGACTATTAGTTTAGGGTTATGTTTAGTAGAATAAGTTGACATTGCTTGAAAAGTTACTTCTAGAATGTCTGTTAAGGAGCATCAAAATAAAGATATTAAGCAGACAGTCTACTAATACTCTAATGACTGCTAGTTGACACGATTTGCAAAGTTACTTATAGTTAGTAGAATGTCTAAAGTGGACTATTGAAATAAAGTGTTCCCTAAACTTCCTGTTTCAATAAAAATGTCAACACAGGGCAGAAAACCTAGCTCATCTGACAATGTCATGAGGTATTTTCTGGACGTGCACTCAAGGAGGGTAATCCATCTGTTGATTCTTGGCAGGTGAAATTTCATAACCACCTTTGAAAACCACCAGCAATGATTTAAAATGGCATGAT